GGAGGCCAGCCGTGTTCTCCTAATCCTGGCGGTGGATCACTTCTGGAGCTTGTTATGACCCAGCCAACTTCAGGATCAATAAAGATCGGTGGAATTCGTCGGTTATTTTTCCAGTGATACTCAACGGGAATGTCTTCTTTCCTGAACACTCGACGGACATGTGGTATTTGATTTCTTGTTAGGTTTTGGTAGATTTCCTCCATCATTCCAGGATGAGGCCACATATGAACTAAAGGACCTTTCTCAGTCAACGTGTAAGTCGAAGAATCAATGAAATCTTCCAAGTATATCTGACGACTTGCTGACGTGTTATCCATTCCATGATCACTTACTATTATCAAGTTGACTTTGCGCAGAAAATCAGTTTCATTTAATCGCTTTAGTAAGAACCCCACAGCATTCACATCAACATTTTCCACCATACTCTTGTATTCTTGCGAGAACGGCCCATGCAAGTGACCCGTAGTGTCTATCGCTCCAAAGTAGAGAGAAATAAAATGCGGTGGTTGGTCAGAACGAAGCCATTCCACCACCTTATCGACTCGAACTGAAAAATTGCGTCTCAGGTCAAACGCGCAATGGACGTAGGGTGGAAAACCTGGTAAAGTTCTATTTCTATACATTGGAAGCTCTTTGGGGTTTATTGCACTACAGTTGACAAGACAGAGTTCTTTTTCGTAGAAGGTCGGTTTTACAGAGTAGCTGGTAGTTGCAGGCCAAAAATATGAACCACTGCGTCCGCCTTGCTTTTGTAATGTCAGCCATATTGGCTCCGCTTCGTTGTAGAACTTGGGATCAATGTTTGAACAGTCGTAGCCGAATATAAATTTCTCTTCGAACACTGGATCCCAGAATATGTTCGACACAATCCCGTGGCTCTCCGAGTAGAGACCAGTCAGAAAAGTGTGATGATTTGGCCATGTGTTGGAAGGTACAATGTTCTTTATGTATTCGGCTTTAACTCCCGTTTGTGCGATGAAGTCCAAATTAGCAGTAACAGCAAACTGACTCTTCAACACTCGCCAATCCATTCCATCCAAGGACACAATCATCAGTGGAGCTTGGCCATCTTGAATTTCAGCTGCTCCACATGTGAAATGGAGTAACAACCTGAAGAACAATGCCAAAAACATCTCTTGATGACGAACCTATCCACATGAAACCGGTAATTGTTGCAGAACCTAGAATTCAAAACGTGCGGAATACTAACAAGTAGATTAAAGTTACTCAGGCATAACACAATCACAAACTATTTGAGCAGACGCAATAAGCATTCTCGCATTCTTTTCAGTTCGCTGTTCTCGGCCCTATCCCGGTCTTAATCTTTACCAATGCTAACTAACTATCCCTTGAGGTTATTACTTCTCCTGTGTTGTGTTTACTTGTTAACTGTTTCTTTTGGCTGGTTATTTTATGCTCCACATATCAGGCAACGGATTTTAAAAAATATTCATGGTTTACAACGTACTAATCCCGAGAGATTCAAATGACAAAGGCCTGACGGCCATGTTGGATGAGACATATAAAAGAAATTAGAGATCTTTTGTTATAATGTCATTCAATGTGGCGGCTGGATGCAGGTAAGGTTTTGCGTTAAAAACAATAAAGGTAAGTTTTGCAATAGCATATATTCATATTCCTTTTCTAATGGTCTAAGTGGGGAAGTTTTGGTGAAAAACTTTAACATAAACACTAACGAGATCAGCAGTGAACAACATTTCTTTGCCTTCCTCATGAATGGAACTATTTGAGCAGACCTAATAGGCATTATTGCAGTCTTTTCAGTTCGCTGCTCATTCACTATGTATCTCGATCTCAATCTTTACCAATCTTGACTAACTAACTTTGGTTTATATCTCAACTGGATGAAGAACTCTTCCTCGTACACCGTCGCTACAATCTAGTACTCCCTTCAACCCGAGTCAAGGAAAGATAATCTCTTCAAGTGTATAAATACTATTAGGAAGAGAGCTTTTTAATTGTATATTGTAGTTTTAGTTATGATGGTTATCTTAGTTCTTATAATTATACATTTAGGTTTTTGATATACTTTTATATCATTTTGTCCATAATATTCGCCTGAAGATGACCTAGTGTCGAAAACGTTAATTTACTTTTTAACTTTTTTACCTTACTTTCGGAATAAGCAGATTTTGGGGCTCGTTACTTTTCGGGGGGGGGGGGGTGGCGTTGCTTTTGGAGAGCAAAAAACGTTGTAAAAAGTTAATAGGAGTGATCTCTTTTTATGGAAATTCGTAAAAAAAAAAGTTCTTGAAACATGAGATAAAATTTGTCGTTCCAGTTTAAATCTTTGTTGCTGCTACATGGATGAGCTCTTCTAGTCTATACCTTGTCAATGGTCAGCTTGAAAGCTAGTCAGATGCCGTAAACAATTGGACCTGGGTGCCACTATTTTCGAGGAGGGGGGGGGAGGTGGTGGGATGTGCTCGCCACAATTTCTTGACATTTCTTTTGGGGAGTCGCTACTTTCGGGGGGTCGTTATTTTCGGAAGTTTACGGCATCAGACAATGTCATATTAAAAATATTCATGGTTTACAACCAATCTCGAGAGAGTTAAATGACAAAGGTCTGGCGGCCATGTTGGATGAAGCAAACAAAGTAGCCGAACAAATCTTGTCATCCAACATGGCGGCTGGATAGTATTGATAACATATAGTCAAATTCCTTGTTTAATATTACAATTAGAGAAGAAAAAAATTTGGAGAAACATTTTAACACACACAAAAAAAACAAAACCACTAGTGAAAAACGTTTCGCCGTCGTCGTGACAGCATTTTCAAGCTCATATGTCTGCGATGAAGTAATTATCAAAATAATTGTAGACCAATGTGGAAAAACATACGATGGAGTATTTGTGAATGTAATTGTAGGTATCAAAAAATGGGAGCGCATTGTTCCACGTGAAACGTTTTGCACGTATAGAGTCAGACTGAGTGTTTAGACCCGGTTTAAGTTCTCTAATAACACAACTAGAACAATGTCTATAAATAATTCATTAATACTTAATCGCACTTGATAGTGAGGCCCCGTCTACACTATGTACGCCGGAGAAATTTGAAAACAGCGTATTCACGCTGAAAGGGCATCCAATGTTTTCCGTCCACACTACGTTGGGGAAATTTGAAAGCTCAACAATCACAGGTCATTTTAGATTTGTGTTTGAGGAAAACTCGGGCATGATAATCGCAACGTCATCGCTTTCGAAAAGCTTCATTATCCGCCCCGGAAAAATGTTTTGCGCCCACACTAAAACGTAAGGCTGGCGTTTTGAAATTCCTCCGGTTCGAGAGTCAGAGTTTTCGAAAAGCTGCGTTTTCGTGATGGATTAGCGTGGACGGAAGGCCATAAAACAAATAGAACAATGCCTATAATCAATTGAACCGAACGAAAACTCATCTTTAACCAGACTTTTCTAAGATACTTTTTTCTGTGTTCGCCTCAGAAAATGATGCGCTGAGGTGTAGCACATTTTACGGCTAGTTAAATCAATTTCGATTCGTGTTACGCACTTTTTCAACAAATACTTTACTTTTATTCCCTCCGATCCAATTTGGGTTCAAACAAATTAATAACTGAACAATTTTATTCCCATTCTATTTCTGCAATATCATGCTCAGGACTAACCTACTAGCATTCGGTACAGGCGGCGCAGGTTTTGAGAATGCGCCGGTCGCCGGCTTATTTTGACAACCCTGTAGCTGGCTTGTGGTGTTTCAAGCCAATGAATGTAGGCTTGCGAAAGCGGATTAGTTTCAGTGCAATCCGCACTAAACATAAGCCGTGTCTAGATATGTTGGCTTGCGTGAGCAAACAACTCCTGTATCGCCGTGGAAACTCACAGAGCGATTTTGAGATAGAAATAACTTACCTTGAGCAATTACAACTATCAGTTTTGCGAGGGAAAGCTCTTCAAAATTTTTACAAAACAGGTAAAACAGCTGCAATTACACAGCAACAACGCTACGCCAGAAGCAATGGCCGACGAAACAACTCGAAAACCCGCAATTACTAGTACCCTGTCTACCTGCCAGACAACTTAAACTCTCGAAGGTCTTTCACGTGTCATCTCGTCCTCAAAGTGACTGGGTGACTGACAATCAAGATCTACCTCTGACTCAGGGGTCTGTACCAGGTGATCTGTGACGTCATTGCGGGGGCCTGGGGAAAGAAATTTTAATGCCGTATCCCATAAACCAACGCGCGCACCAATTCAATCTGTTTTCGAATCATGGCGGCTGGTCGGCTACCATGCGGGAAAATTTGCGACAGAGAAATCGTTCCATGGAAGAGAGATATTTATTCTAAATTAGACTGAAAGTGAAAGGTCAAAATCTTACTCGTATAATTCTTTCAGATTTCGTCAGCGCTCGATGCTTTCCCGTGGAAGAGTGTTGAATTTACATTCATTCAGTGAGTACATTTTGACGACGTACTCAGTTTTATTCTGCGGTGGAAGTGTTGTTAACAGATCCAAACAAGCTAGCTGTCCGGCTCTGACGAAAATCGGATCTTTCAGGACCGGATATCTTTCCTCGGGATTTCCATAGACGTACGAACTTGGTGGGTAAGTTGCCTGTAGGTCTCCATCGGCTGTTCGCTTCAAGGGTGGAATTTTTAGTAGCAGCTCTTTCAACTGGCTGAATTTTGGCTCTCTTTGACGCATCAGTCCTACCGTAATCCGGTATGGTGATTTGTCACAAGCCAGGATACATTGCTCTGTCCATTTACCACTTGATTTCTGGTTGACGTCTGCTTCAATGAT